TCCAAATGGAGTGTTGCTAAGAGGAGCAGGAGGTCACATGCACAATACATCCTCATGCACATAAAACGTATATGCCCCTGCCCCTGGTCCCCCCTTCCCCCCAACCTGGTCTGCCCGCCACACATGCACACACACAGGCAAAGTAGGCATACTCTATTTAGTATATGTGTTCACTCTATTTACCAGAGATACTCCTGCTGGTATGCACCCACCCTTGCTGCTCCTCTGTCCTGCTACATGCATCTGGCAGCCTAGAAGAAGTCCCAAATTATCTCGAGATGTGCCAAATAGTTTGGGACTAGTACATGGGAATGCCTGTTGCAATATAAGGAGGATGGTGTGATCGTGATGCCTGTGCTCCCTGGTCAGGATTTACGTTTGTCTTGTGGCTCCCTGGCTCTTGAGGGTGGTGTGAACGTACGGTCTGCAAAGTTTTCCTCACAGTGCGCACTGATCCATTCTCTAACCATGGGTTTTTGTGTTTGAGCTGTGGTGTTGCCTTGTTGCCTGGCTGGTCCGAACCTTGTTGCCTTGCTACGCTGTTTGCTGTGTGCCTCCTGCCACACATATGCCTGCTACTGCTTGCTGTTGTCCCCTGACATATTTGCCTTGCCATCTGCCAACTTACCCACTCGCACCATCCAGCCGCCTATTACTGGTTTGTTGCTTGCTTTGCTGCCTTGCTGCCTGCCCTTCCTCTCTCGCGCCCGGTGCCGTCTGCCACACATATGCCTGCTACTGCTTGCTGTCTTGGCCTGAAACATTAACCCTTGCCATCTGCCAACTTACCAATCCCCACCATCCTGTCCCCCATGCCTGCTTTGTTGCTTGTTTTGTTGCTTTGCTGCCCGCCCACCCTCTCGCACGCCCTGCTGCTGTCCCTCCAGCCACACATACGCCTGGTACTGCTTGCTGTCTTCCCCTGACACATGTATCTTGCCATCTGCCAACTTACCCACCCCCACCATACTGCCCCCCCACGATTGGTTTGTTGCTTTTGCTTTGTTGCCTTGCTGCCCACCCACCCTCTCGCACACCCTGCTGCTGTGCCTCCTGCCACACGTATGCCTGCTGCTGCTTGCTGGCTTCCCCTGATACATTGACCTTGCCATCTGCCAACCTACCCACCCCAACCATCCTGCCCCCCATGACTGGTTTGTTGCTTGCTTTGTTGCCTTGCTTTGTTGCCTTGCTTTGTTGCCTTGCTTTGTTGCCTTGCTGCCCACCAACCCTCTCACATGCCCTACTGCTGCGTACCTTGTTGCCTTTATCCACCTGCCTGCCGACTTGTACCAGGGTTCGAACTGCAAAGCAGATTATCACTCAAGGCACCATTAGGAGGGATTCTGCAGAATGTTGACGGTTCAAGCCTCCAGATGAGAGTTGGTGAGGGTCTGATGAGACCATCTGTCACTAACCCACTTTCCTGCTCTCTTTTTCCTGTGTGCGTGCAACCTTGTTGATTCCCCCTATTGGATCTGACGATGCTTGCAATGGAGTTCTTCTGGTGCTGAAACAAAATAAAATTTAATAAATTCAGTCACTTTTTTCAGTGTCATATTTGCATCACCTCCAGTGTACGCTAATTGCCAACAAGTTTGAACTTTGGAGGCCCTCATGATGATACAGGTATTATTACCAGCTAGCTACTTGCTGTGGTTGTCTGCCCAGAGTGACACTTTGGTACTGTCCCCTGAGTGACTCTTTGGTGCTGTCCCAGAGTGTTACATGCTGAGCCTGCACACGGGCCCCATTTGGGGCCCCGACGGTTGCTGGGGCCCCCCAGGCCGCACGCCCCTCAGACGCGCGCCCTGGAGCCCCACTACCGCCCTTAGGGCTGCAGGTTTTGATTTGAGGCAGCATTCATTCATTCATTTATTTATTTGCTGTCCTATTTTTGTCTGTTCAGGCGTTGTTTCGGACTTGCAGTTCGTCCGAACAGACCGAAGACCACATTTTTGGCCTCGTACGGTCATAGGCAGGCCCTGTTGGGGCAGGTCCTTTTTCGTCCAGTTGCGGATGTCCTGGCTGCATCAGCAGGGAGGGTCTGGACGCCCGGTCGGGACCCAGACCCAGTAGGCCACGTTTTGGCCAAAGACCAGAGGCACATGGAGGCACACCTGCGAGGCCCAGCGCTACTCATAGCAGGGCCACGCCTGGGTAGACACACAGTTCGAGTAGCTGACTTCTTGGGCGACACGCTGCTGGAGCAGCGTGACACAGCGCTGCATTAGAGGTAGAGGTGTAGGTAGAGCGAGGGAGGCGGAGGCCATACCTGCAGCGGCGGTACTTACCTGTGCGCCATAGCTGGGCTCTCCGCCAGCGACCTGCACAGGGACACCATGCGGTCAGTACATGGCAGCAGTTACCTGCAGGTGAGACAGCGAGGAGGACGACATCTTCTTCTTCGTCTTCGTCTCACCTTCCATCCCTTCTCCCTCCCTTCTTCTTCTTCTTCTTCTTTCAGAGAGAGAGAGAGGCTACAGGCAGAGGTCACATCGGGCCGTGAGGCCCAGGATCTGATTCAACATTTTGTGGCAGACAGTGATTGGACATTTGGCAGGGAGACTATTTTTGGACTTCGCTATCGTGACCTAGGTTTTCACCCTCATCTCCATCTTTGTCTTGTCTCTCCCCCTCATCTCCTCATCCGTGGCATCTCCCCATGTGCGTGATCAAGGAGGGACCTATCTGGATGTACATTGCTTGTTGATGTTTTGCTGACACTGCATTGTCCATTTGAGTCCTTTTCATCACTTTGCGGATCCTTGGCTCCCCATACATTGCTCAACTGAGCATGTATCAGTTGGTAATGGAGCTGCCGCGCGTGAATCAGGACCTATCTCTGACCTGACGCGCGAGTAGGGACAACCGATCGATCAATCGATTGATTGATTGATTGATTGATTGATTGATTGATCGATCGATTGACCGATTGATTGATTGATTGATTGATTGATCGATCGATTGACCGATTGATTGATTGATTGATCGATTGATCGATTGATTGCTTGATTGCTTGATTGCTTGCTTGCTTGCTTGATTGATTGAATGAATGATTGATCGATTGATTGATCGACTGAATGATTGATCGATTGATTGATTGATTGCTTAGGTTAACCTAATTATTTCCCCATTCGCGATTTTCTACTTAACTGTCAATTCCGAATTTTTTTTCTTTTCAGAAATCCTTCTTTGGCGCAAATTCTTTTTTTCTCAAAATCCGAAATCGCGCAGTAGCTGAATTTTCGATTTTCTTTTTCTTCATTTTCGAAACCTAGCTGCTTGATAAGTCCGATTTTTTTTCTTTTTGGAATTTTTTCTTCTGCGCAAAACTTGTTTTCCCAACTTTTCCGTAAAATCCAAAATCACTCATTCTGATTTTTTTTCAGAATTCGTCCTTTTTGAAACGGTTTTCACCTTTGCAGAGGCAGATGCAGATTCCAGGGTTCGGTCCCCAGACCCTACCTTACCCATGTACAGTATCGAGTTGACCCCCGAGTGTTTGAACCCGTGACCTGTGTTTCGTTAGTTGCTGTTTGTCTGTCACAGGACTGTGTAGATGTAGGGATTCGATCTGTAGGTCTATCGAGTAGGGGTCACAGCTTTGTAGAGGTCGTAGCTATAGGCATTCTGAAAGGTCAAGGTCGTAGCTGCTACAGTCCTGAAAGGTCAAGGTCGTAGCTGCTACAGTACCCGAAAG